TATATATCCAAGATCAAAAGTGCCTGCATCACGGTCTTTGGTCTGCTACTAGGTAAGTACATTCCAGTTCCTGGGTACAAGAGTGCGGTAGTACGTAATGATTACTGTCTGAGCACCTGAGCATTTGGTGCGGATTGTGCGCACTGACATATCACGCGTCTGTCGATATGACAGACTGAACATTTCAAAACACTGACACGTTCAAAAACCAAACAACAAACAAACGTATGTTCACTATACAACCCTGTGAGAGTACTATGCAATAACTATGGATATCAACAACACACAAACGTATGTTCACCATTCAACCCTTGTGAGTGTACTATGCAATAACTATGGATATCAACAACACACAAACGTATGTTCACCATACAACCCTTGTGAGTGTACTATGCATTAATCATGAAACCCAACAATAAATATGCGAGTATGGTATATGCATCTCTGCTAATTCTTCTTGAGCTTCAACAAGCACTGCAGTCAATTCGTCTGCCGTTCGAGGCACTCGCACTGCACTCACCCACTAATACGACTAATTGCACACCACAGCTGATACCACTAACCACATTACACCCACCCACTAATACGACAAATTTTACACCACAGCTGATACCACTAAATACACTACACCCACCCACTAATACGACTAATTGCACACCACAGCTGATACCACTAACCACACTACACCCACCCACTAATACGACTAATTTCACACCACAGCTGATACCACTAAATACACTACACCCACCCACTAATACAACTAATTGCACACCACAGCTGATACCACTAAAAACACTACACCCACCCACTAGTACGACAAATTGCACACAACAGCTGATACCACTAAATACACTAAACCCACCCACTAATACGACTAATTTCACACCACAGCTGATCCCACTTTCCACACTACACCCAACCACTAATACGACTAATTTCACACCACAGCTGATACCACCAAATACACTAAGCCCACCCACTAATACGACTGATTTCATACCACAGCTGATACCACTAAATACACTAAACCCACCCACTAATACGACTAATTGCACACCACAGCTGATACCACTAACCACACTACACCCACCCACTAATACGACTAATTTCACACCACAGCTGATACCACTAAATACACTAAACCCACCCACTAATACGACTAATTGCACACCACAGCTGATACCACTGACCACACTACACCCACCCATTAACACGACTAATTTCATACCACAGCTGATACCACTAACCCACTACACCCACCCACTAATACGACTAATTTCACAACACAGCTGATACCACTAACCACACTACACCCACCCATTAATACGACTAATTTTATACCAAAGCTGATACCACTGACCATACTACACCCACCCATTAATACGACTAATTTCACACCACAGCTGATACCAC